ATATTTGAACATTTTGTTTCCATTTGTTAGGCCGGCCACCGCCTGATCTTTCCATTATGGCACTGCACGGGCAAACAGTGCGCGCCATGGTAGTTGCTTGTATGCATACATAGGATGGGACCTAGCCATCTCGGTTGACATAGTGTTCTTAGCCTGTCGAGAGGGAGGAATGTAGTACCCATAGCACGACGTCTAACATCGTCGTTACAAGCGTAGTGTTACCACCACACACGAGCTAACATTAGTAGACAACCTTTGTCAAGGGCTGAAATCAGACGCATGTCATTTAAGGAGTCACCCAGAAATTTTTCCCATACAACAACGAAGACGCCAAAGATACTTCAGAGTAGCGAAATTTGATCGGGCTTCGTCAACATATAGATATATCCTTTCTATTAGTTCAATCAACAGAAGCACAAATGCCAGGTAGGCAAAGAATCCCACTTGTTAAAGCTGCGTTCCTTCAAGACTTAGCGTTGAGGTTTGTGGTTGGTAACCCATAACAGGTCCCTGTATTACATGGGAGCAAAGATCATGCTATACTTGGTAGCATCAATCAATAATCGAGTTATAAGTACCGTAATACTCCGAGGGTCCTTACCGATCAACATTGACCCTATGTTAAATAACCAGGATGTACCGAGCGGTTTTATGTTATCTTACTTACGAAATCGCAGGACAAATAATAGTTACGGAAACAGTGCATTTTCGGCAATCATCACACAGCTACGTTTAAACTGACTGCGATGTATGTCCAAACTACACTGACGGACTGCGGAGCCTGAAATGTTAACTGATTTTCACTTCTACTTACTTGATCTTTGTTGTTGAAACGGCTAAAAAGTGCCCTTTTACATACACATTTGTGTCCGTGCTATCGCAGGGGCAAAAATATGATCATCATCGTTACAGACAAGGAATTAATAACTAAGGAACCAGGTAGTGTCCAAACATCCTGTTAGCCTGAAAGACTTCAAGTACCAAATTTGGGTGGTAAAGAGAACTGTCAACATTATTTGGTGTAAACGTCAAGTATTAAAACATAAACATATTGCAGTTGGTTTTTGGATTGTGCAGCATTTAACTACATTTCAGCTAGTTTGAAAACAAGAGCAGTAACCACAAATGCACAGCGTAACCACGCTGTCATCGGGTGTTTTAAGTAGTTTGCAAAAGAGCACTGCAATGGTAACTTTACCTTCTCGGAAGTAGTACCTACGTTTAAACGCACATGAATATGCTGGCCCAGAGCCCCTCGATTGTATGTCAAGTAGACCGAAACAAAGGGAAATCGAACGGAAAGTGAAGTTCTCTATTTCTATGTGTGCGTGTACGAACGTCTGCTTTGCATTGAATGGAGCAAGAATAGTAGAAATTTGGTAAAAGTTGCTAAATGTCCAGCTTAGGTTTTCCTTAACAGCATGTTGAGTTCTCTTGTTACGAGTATTATTTCTTTAAGTTTATGATTTTTAATTTAAACCGTTGGTTTCGATAAATAACTGCATGATAATTGCAATGGTATCGCGCAGGAAAAACAATTTATTGCACAGAAAGAAATCCGAAACATATGCTGCATCTACGGAATCAAAGTGCCGACTTGAACCACCATAATGATGGGTGCAGCTTGCTTGAGTAAAGAATTGCAAATGACAGTACTTATTAATAAACCTTGGCGCTAGAAAGGAATAAATTATCGGTCATCTGCAAATGTGCTTGCATCCACGTGTATAAATCTTACAAATTTTCCAGTTTTGGTAATAGGATAAAGTCTGTTATGGATTTGTCAACGTAACTGATCGACAGATCATATGTTAATCCAGAAATACGAGACAGTTTCAAATACGCGAAAGGTATGCAGGTCGTTGAGCAGGCTTGACAATTCTGTCGTTAATGAAATCCGCTTCGTTCTTGTTTAGGTTCGCGCTTTTCCATGAGTCCTTTTTAGACAGACTATTAGTATACAGGTTTTATGTTTTTTTCTTTTCTAAGCGTTCTTTGGTATCCCGTAAATATTAACAAAAGCTACAATTAGTATATTCGCATTTGGACCACTCTTGATTCTCATTCGCTACAATTCCGTAATAGTAAATCACACCAGTTCGTAAATAAAACATGGTAACAGCACATAAACGTACGTACCTAACTTCATTCGATACAACTTCTCCTTTGTATTAGTCAGCATTTCGTAACTTAAAAACCTACGAATCCTTTGAACAAACCATATTTAAATGGGCTGTTTACTTTGCCACACCTCATAAAGTAGCCTATATACGGTGAACAAAAGGGTATGGAAATAAAACAGTTTGCCACCATTTTCAGTTAGTTTTACGGCTATACTTTTAATTTACATTAGTTCCAAATTTTGTGTATTGTGCAGTGTTTCGCTGCACAACATTAAGTTTTTGTCTGTGTAAACATTGGTGTTAACACACATTATCTACCTGTTTATTAACGTTTGTTTCGTCAAGTGCATATTTTTATGTTACTTTTAATTAAAAAATATTCCATTTATTGCACCACCTTGCGCAGGGCAAATTTAGTTTGCAACCTCTTAGATGGTCTTGCATCTGTCTTGTCAAGCATATCGTATTAAAATGATTTTATAAAATTCACAATGCAATATTAACTTTGCATTTGGTTGCTGAAACATTACACATTTCCACCATCTGATGGGTTCATTGAAACAGTAACGCGCAGTCATTCCGTACGTGAAGGTGTAAGTTCATATACTCCGTTGGGACTTATCACGTAGTTGGATGTCTTTTATGTGATTTTACTGTTTTAATCGTCACTTCGGGAGAGACCGTGGAAGCATTTTTCGTATTGTGTATTGGAATTTTCGTGAGGGGAAAGTCCGATATGGAAATAAAATCACTAGCTATTTTCCATATTCCAGGCTTCCTAGCATAGGTGCATAGCGCTTTAATAAACAATCTAGAATAAAACCCCGAACAATAATTAAAATTTTTAGACAAGGTTTAATTTTTATTGTGTTGACTGAATTGCATTTTTCTGCCCATACTTAGAGCAATTTTGTGCTTGCGTACTTCACAAGCGTCTTGTTAGCTATGTACCATTCTGTTATGATGAGCTATCGTTAAAATAGCTTTTCATGCCGCTGTCATGTTAATATGAACCAGTGTGTTCTCGCTGTCCACTCAGTGGTACAAATGCTAATCACTAGTAAAGGTGAAACACCATTTATGAACGTTTAATTCTAATGTATAACAATAACAATTGCAAAACTAAAATTTGGGACACCTTATGACTTTGTGGATGATAAAAAACACTATATACCTTCGATAGTCAGTGTTTGATGGATACCCTAGAAAACGTCTGTATGTGTCTGCTGGCCTTGTAAAAGTTTTGTACCGATTGGTACAAGCACTTCTCAGAGGAACGGTGCAGCTTGTTGACAAGCAAGTAAGAAATTTCGTCGAATACCTATCCAATGTGACAAGGCTATACGAGATTTAAACATCCGGTACTGAAACACTTAATTTGGCTGAACCAGTTGAACTCATAATTGCCAGATAATGAAGAAGCGCAAAACGCATCTTCTCGATGTGTGAAGCAAAACTACACTTGTATACAGCCTGCGTCCCTCCTTTACTAGAGTACTGTTTGATTTTCGTTAGAAACAGCAGAAAAGGTGACCGCATGTGCCTAGAAAACGTGCAGATATCATTCACAAAGATTCTCTCTAACTTATCGTCTAAACTTGACAATTATGGGCGTTGTAAGATACGACAACTGGAACCACTGGGTTTAAGACGCATGAAATTAGGATTAACATCCCAATATGATTTAATACGTATGCGTAGATTCGCGCCAAATATCATCATTAATTTCAATGATGAATATAGTTACGAAGGAATTCATACCTAAACAAATACACTGAAAGCTGGAATAGCCCCCTATAGGAATAACTATGCAAATGGGAAACAATGTCTAAAAGAGCGGTTTCAAAGTGCCTGACGGTGCAGTAAGTAAAAACAATGTTGCGACTAAAAGACAATAAGAACTTTTTATTTGAGGTGGGGGCCGAAACGCAAGTGCGTTGGGAACGAATATGCATGAAATGTGATGCGTCCCGTGAATTCACTCGGCAAAGCCAACCTGAAGTGGTGTATTGATGAATATTATCTTTCACAGAAGCCTTTCACGCTTCATCCCTCTACCCTCCTTCCTTTTTTAATCTGGAAAGCTGAACTCACAACCGCACTAAAAGTGTGGACTGGAGCGAAATTGCAAAATGAAATTGAGGAAACAATCTTTTGTCTCCACTTTTCTTTTGCTGCTAACCCAGCCACTCCGACCTTGTAACCAAACCAAAACCTGTGAGCTGAGAATGAAACGCTGACTAAATCCATCCATCTTCATTCGTTTTAACCATTTGTTTTTCGTTTACTCGTCGATTCTTCCAAAATAAACGTAAACATGTCAGACAACAAAGTGAAGCTAACCGATTCTGCTTCCGAAATCTTCATCCCTGTTTCCTAAATTTTCGCCTATATGGCGTCTTACTCGCTTACGCGTAGCGTACAGTTATACAAACGCCAACGGCAGATACCTCTTCTACTCGATCTGTCTCTGCCCGTATTTACAGCTTCTGAAATAAACATAAATAATTACACCCGTCTTTTCTCCATCCTTTTTAGTTCACAATGTATAGTGAATGATTAAGCAACATCAGATGCTCTGTTCAGTACGACTTCAGACTGTCACCTGTCAACACAATTGCGCCTCATCCTTTACCCAAGAAAATGAGAACTTGGTCCCATCTGTAAAAGGAGATCTCCGTCAGAACTCCATGAATTAATCTGTGCCAGAACAAGATATTAAACTGCACAATACTTAATCACCAAAACACAAATTGTATTTCTGGTTAACTTTTGGAATATGCTGTTAATATTATGCCTAAAAGAGCAGGTCACGTAAGCCCGAGAGTATACATTATTTATGCTGTTATTTATATTATTAGTATTATTTCGACTTACTCGCTGACGTCTCGAATGATGGGACTGAAACACACAGGCCCACTGAGGTGTACTGCGTCAAAACTACGTCGGTAGGCCTCCAACACTCCATCCATACCCTTGCAAAAATAAGTTTCGCTGTCGCCACTCTGCAAATGTAAGAACAGCTTTTGTTGGAGAACCCATGTAACTAGAAAAAGGAGAGTTATTTGGTTTAAGTTTGATTCACAGCTAAAAGCAAAAATAGGATGAACAACACTGGTTTAATCATTAGTTTGAAGTTGTACGGTTAACTCGTGTGTAATGAGGAAAGATCACAGCACATCACACGGAACAGGTTGTATGCAATTCAATGCAGCTGAAGACATTTCGCACACTACAACACTGCAGCGAATGTTGCGCAGATTACTCGTTTAGTTTTAGTTTGCTCTTTTGAACGGTAGTCTATCAAAGATTGGATTCTGGTATTCTCCCATCACAAAACAAAAGGTATTAATACATAGGGTTTACATTTATATCTAATGTCTGCAGGCAGAGAGGGGTTTTTATGCGCACATTTTTACAGGCGTTCTGGAATTAGGCCCGTAATCATCATTTACATCATCATACACTACAAGTGTATTTGAATACCACGGTAACTTCAACACAAAACGCCATAAATTGGCCAAATCTGGCAGCGTGCCCTCCTTGCGATATAGAAAATTCGCTGTGCCTTCCAGGGATAAATATCGTGTACTTTAAAGGAAATGGTTCCTAGTTGAAGTTCTTAAAGTGCGGTAAGAAGACAATGGCTGGTATGTACGTGTATCTAATATTGTAGCAAGATAACAATGTGAAGTTAATGAGTCTACCAGGTATTGTCCTCTCATATCACTTTTCAAATGCGCGCAATTAACAAGTAAAATCTAAGTGTCCTCGAGGACTTTGGAGTGATAACTGAGACGTCAGTAGATGAAGGATTAGGGCTAACCAGTAGCAAAGTTTACATTGATAACTTGAGTACGACAGTTCCTGCTAGCGAGAGTAACGCCATTAATATCCAGGATGCTTGTCCACAACTGGTAAGTTACATATGTGTGCGTTGAGAATGAGTTTGTATAAATTGGTTCGTTGTTAGCATATCACGCGTTGCCGCTTTTTAGTAAAAATTTACTGAAGATATTGATCTTTCTAAAGTCTTCTCACTTTGGGCGGCTGATTAAATGTAGTATACTAGGGCTATTCAAAGAAAACAAACTTTTGCTATACCGTATTTTTTGCTCATTGCACATTTTGACCACTTTCCTCCTCAAATTATTCACCTCTACTGGCAACACACCGTTCCCAACGGTGCTTCCATTTTTGATAGCTCCCTGGAACGCAGACGCGCAGGTCACTTGTCACATTTCCCTTAATCCCCTCTATGGTTTGAAAGCGACGTCCTTTCAACTTGGTCTAACGTTTGGAGAGACAGGAGAATGTCTGCACAGGCCAGGTTCGGAGAATACGTTGGATGGGTCAAAACGGGAGTGTGATGTTTCGCTAGATGGATGTGGACAAGGAGCGGAGATTGAGCCGGCGCATTCTCATGATACAACATCCAAGTCTGCTTTTCATACAGTTCAGGCCTCTTCCTGCGCACGGCGTCCATCCAATGTGCTAGAATTTGATGGCATAATCCTACGCTAGTGTCCACTACATTAGCGACTTCTTGAACAGTTACATGATGATTTCTAAGAATCACAGAACGAACTCAGTCGACATGGTCATCGTCTGTTGATGTGCGAGTTCGTCCAGGCTTGGGATCGTCAGCTAACAAAACACATAAATCACTTATAGCTCTGTGTGCGACTCATACAGTGCTCTATGTATGCTTAAATAAACAATTGTAGTTGTCGCCGCAAAATGTTTGCAAAGTTTGTAAAAAAGGCCAAACACACGCGTCGTTCTTCTAATTATTTTATTGTGTCTTTGGCACTAATCTGAAGAACAGATTATACATGTATTCAATTCAGCGGCTTTAGCTCCCCAACCAACAGGCAGAGCGAAATGTGGCAAATGGCAGTTTCTTGTGTAAGTAACCCTCTGCATGCGCGCAGTAACCGCAGCGCGCCCACGCTGTCGGTTGGCGTGCTATTGCAAAATTTCGGTTTTTATTGTACATCCCTCTTACACAGATGCAACACCGCAGTATTGAAAGTGGAGTGGTACGCCAAGCGCCGCATATCATTCCGGACGCGTTTCGTTGTTTTTTCAAATTTCTCGTGATCATAGCCGCACCATTCTACTGGTTCTCTCTATCTAAATAAATGATCGAATTAGATGCATTAACTACCAACTAGTGGAGAAAGTGAAGCCATTTCAAATTATTTTTTGACAATTTTGCGCAATAGATATGCTTTCGGGATTATGTACTGACCACTATATAACTCAAAAACGAACCTGCGACAAGTGTCACTTCAGTCTGTATTAAATTTTCCAGGACAGCAGACCAAGGGGCAGACCTGTTATGGCACCATTTTTCCTCAAACAATGGCATATAATTTAGACAATGGGCATCAGATGTTTCTAAGACGTGTGTTCAGTATGATACTCGAGGTTCCCCCTCATCAAAAAAAATTCAGTGCCTTAGACTTTGCGTCGTCCGGAGCATTTTGCATTGGATTGCATCAGACCTTCTTATGCTCGTTTAAAAATCTATTTTATGTTCTTCAACTCCACTGGACGGCGAAAACGGAAAACGCAGATTTTAATTGTCTTCGGTCAACTCCATAACAGGTGATTAACACATAAAGGCGTAGCTGACTTTCCCGTCTGGGCACTGACCCACAATTAACCTATGCAGCTTGAAATCAATGTGCCTATTTTACTTGTTTTATTCCCCTATACGAGTGTAGTGGCATGAAGCATAAGCATAGAAGGTAATTGCTCATCACAAGGTCCCTTGTTGCCGTTAGTAAACTTAGAATTTATAAGTTTCGTCACACATTTCGTGAATTTAATGGAATCGTGGATTAGATATATTTTTTGATATCATTCTAAAGGAAAATAGTTTCAGACGGTTTGTAAAGACGTTCAGTTTTCTCCGGTCACGAAGTCCCGAGCTAGAGCCGTCTGTCAATAAACCATTATTACCATGGCGTTTGGTGCTTTTGTCTATGCTTGCGCCTAATATCTGCAGGACAATCACGAATAAAGTTTATAGGTATAATTGACAGGAAACTATGACAATCGTCCCCTTAACTTCCAAACGTTGAGATACCTGCATTAGGACAAAAATTTGGTAGATAGATAAGATCCCATGCCTACGTAATCAGCACATTTTTGGCATCACAGGGTGCCCAAATAAATGGAAGAACGACAAAGTAACGTGTTTGGGGCACGTAATCAACGGAAGCTTTGTTGTTTCTATGTATAGGCAGTGGTAGGCATGAAGAAGATTTAATAATCTTTTACTAGTTATTTGCATTAGAATAAGCTCTGGGGGCGAAAGTGATTACACATACACGTATGCACATGAATACCTATGTACCAACGCTTTGTGTTTTGGGAGTTAGCTACAGTGTGAGTACAAATCGTCCTTAAACACGAATTCTGTTCGTAAGGACTAAAATGGTGCGTTGGAAAAAAGTTGGAGAATTCTAAACCAGTTAATTCCTACTCTTCCAAATACACCGTGATTATGCACTGCTCGTAGTTTGCTCTTCAATGGCCTACTGTCTTAAGTCATTGTTCTCTGACGCCGCAATTTTACACATTTAATGGAGTTACGAATTTTATTTTAAACAGAATATATTGAACGGAAAATTTGCACTGATCTAAAACAGCCACATTATCAAAGACATTTCGGTTGGAACTCTTCATCTCTTGCACAATTGCTTCTAAACAATAAGGAGATAACACACAACGATGGTTTAATGTTCATTGAAATATAACACAACGTAAACGAAGACGGGTGTTGAATCAATTCGGTTGCATGTAACGGATGTTTTCTTGCACTGGGGAAATTTCTAGCCCGAATGCCGGGAAATGACGGGGCAGTATGGATGTAGCCAAAACCATTTTAAATGTTTGTACCTGAGTACTGATATTTATAGTAATATGTATATACAGTAGGTAGTTGGCATAAAAGAAAGTAAAGTAAGCCAAATTTCATTAGCCTTATGAACACAGAAAAACCTAAAATAAATGAGAATACAAAGCACTTCAACAGTCGTTCTTTACTTAGTAGCACACTTCATATTTAAAAAAGTTGAATAGCCTCAAGGGGCGAGGTGCGCAGGTACATGCACAATAAGAAACCAGAATCTCTGCCATGTCCTTCCTTAGAAGATAGCAGACAATTTCGTCTAGAGAGAGTAGCCTAATTTACGGCTAACTCACACAACCATCCGTCAGGCATTTCTGCTGGCACCTGTGCAATTTGTCAGTGAGAGCTAACTCAAATATCGGTACTTAGTGATGAGGCAAAAAATTCACCTAGAAGTAACTTTATACTTTCTTAACGCCGTCCCAGTAGCGTCAGTCATCTGAATGGAACCGTATGTTAAAACGGAAAAGTTGACACCCCACCCTTGCAAACAACCGTAAAGTGGGTGTGATTCTCGTTTTTACTAGCGGAATATGGCGAAAACTAATTTGCATTAGTTCACATCAGAATGATTGATGTTTGAGGTAAGAAGAGAAGGTAAACTGCGTAGGTGTGGTTTAGTTTGCTCGCTGTAAAGACAAACGAAGAAATATTAGTTTCCTGCTCAACGTTCCAAATGTATGATAGAAAGGCAGTAAATAATCCTTTACTCTGCTGCATTTGCAATGCTTATGCTTGCTTTTGTGGTAGAACTAAATGCATAATGCCTTTCAAACCTTTGAGCGGCCCACCTCCGACCGGGGAATCGCTCAGTATGTTTAATCGGTGCAATCCATATCCAGGTTATTTGGTAGGAATTGACTGGCGATTATGTTCTCTGGGTTCAAATTGTAATTTCGCGGTTGATATTGCGACATATTAGGAATAAATTTTCTTCATTTTTTACATATTAATAAGAAAAAGAACTAGGAATAAATAGCCTATCAAGCATAGGGTTGTTGAGTCGTTAGTGATTAATCAGACGTTACATGCATAGGCACCTATATTTTAAATATAATCCAGACGTTCAGATGAAGTGTT